TTGGCTAGATTCGGAGTCAAACTCGGAGCGGACTGGCCGAGTTCTCTTCTCCCGCCCCCGCAGGGGGAGTCAGCAGCTCCCACCGACCACTTCGTGGCGGATGGAGACCCTGCTTTGTGCAGGGAAAGCCCCCGGGTGAAAGCCCCGCCATCTCGGAGGGGGGGACAGGACAGAATCTGGAGGGGGGAAAACGGTAGTGTTTTGGACTACAACTCCCAGAATGCCTCGGGCAGCATGGCCACGCTCATCATGTGCCTTCCTCTGTTCTTATAACAAATCCACAGTGGTAGCGCAAATGGCTGGGGCAGTTCCTTCTCTCCTCAAAACTGAAAAAAAAATCCCGGTTTTAGTTCTGCATCTGGAGAGCGGCTTGCCTTAAAAACCGTGCATTCCACACATGTGATGCAGCAGGGCAGAAGCATCAGAGATAAGAAGGCCAGTGCAATACCACTCAAAGACCATGATCCGTGGCTCTAAAATTAATTGAAAGCATGAGCAAAAGAGGCGGGGCGTGCGCGAAATCCTAGCAGGAAAAACGGATCCGATGCACCGCTAAAGCGGAGGTAAAGCAAGGGAGCTCAGAGGGCGCCACCCATCTCTGAGAGGCCCCCTCTTCCCGGTGCACCTCCCACCTGATCTTTAATGGCAGAAGCACCTACTGTACTCACTAAAAATGCCACCCTTTGGGATGCTGAAATAGGCATTTCGAAATACGGTGTGGGCTCCTCCTTCCAAGGGAACCTGGCCTTTGCAGGGAAGTGAAATCCCCACCCACCGCTCTTTCCAGCCAAATGCTCTTGCTAATGCAAAATATTTTTCTTGCGGCTCCTCTCGCCCTCCCTAAGGGTTGCCTGTTGGTCTCAAAGCCGTCTAGGTGGCAGGGCACCATCTTCCCTGTGTCTGAAACGGGGGGGGAGTGCTGCCCAAACCCGGGGCCACCCCCTTCTCCCAGCCAGCTGAGTAGTGGGGGCCTCAGCATTGCTGTGTGGGGTTTATTGTGCAATAAAGAGGGCTGGGGTGACCTCAATCTGTGTAGGTTCAGCAAGGTCTAAAGAGGATGGCCGGGGGCTCCAGAAAGAGTGTGTGATGTGAGGGGGGCCGAGATGACCCAGTGGTGGACAAGGTGGTGGACAAAGAGGGCAGGAGGGAGGCAAGGTGTAAAGTACCACGCTCTGAAGACTTAATGCGCATCTTAAATGGACTGAGCCGCCCCGAAGGAGAAACAAGCAAGCCACCCGGATGTCACCGAGGGGGGGGGGGGCTAAGTAAGCGGAGGCTGCTCTCTGAAACCATCATCATCTTATTGGGTCGAGCAGGCCACTGGACAAACCGAAATGCCAAAATGAACAGCGGCTGGGTGTTTTGTCAGCGTTTCTGCCGTTGACGCTGCGGGTTTCATTCACTCCCCAGGGAGCGCTTTGAGTGGTTGATTCTGAAACATTTGGCTTTGAGTCCTGAGGATCCAGCTGCACTGATGCTCAAAAAGGGCCGCCCCCCTCCTCTCTTTCTCTCACTTCCATTCTTTTTTAAAAAGAGGCTCTGCCTTCCTTTGTAAGATATCTGGGGCAAGAAGGTGCAACCTGCTCCTCTCCAGGCTGAAAACAGTTGAGTTGGCGCATCGTGGGTGGATAAACATCTTTGTTCTTTATGGAGGAGTTTACCAGAATTCTCAAGACACAGATTTGGGAAAATGGGATTTGAGATTAAAAAAAATAAATAAATCAGAAGTAAAGCTAGCCAATTTTCTCATTTCTAATTATCCTGGTGGTACCCAAACCTGGGTCCTCAGATGTTCTTGGACCACAACTCCCAGAAATCCTGGCCAACACAGCTAGGGGTGAAGGCTTCTGGGAGCTGTAGTCCAAGAACATCTGGAGACCCAAAGTTTGGAACCATTGTGGGTTGAGTGGTTCCCCAGTTCAGCTCCCCACCCAGCCATGGAAACCCACTGGGAGTGTGTGAGTGGGGAAACCAGTCCTTAAATATCACCTTGAGAGCCCTACCAGGTTGCTACAAGTTGGTTCTGACTGGATGGCATATAAACAACCATGATCACGGAAAAACTCCATCCCCTGCACAGGATTTCTGACGCCCCAGAAAAGTGCAAGTGATCGCTGTCTCAATTCTCTGAGAGTTGGTCCTTATGAATCACAAATCGCATCACCCAGGTGTAAAGAGGGAGCAATCCCAGACCTTGATAGGAATCCAAGTTTTGCAGAAGTTTAAAAATAATTAAGATAAAATCAGAAATGGAGGGGTGATCTCCCCCGCCAACAGCAACGAGGGTGGGGTATGGTCTATGGTAGCAGAATGGCAGGTGACTATTAAAATGGGGGCGGGAGAAAATAGGGTGGGAAGAGAATGGAGTATGCTAGGAAAGGACATGGCTGGCTGGAAACTCCACCTCCCCACAAAAATACCCCAAGCCTTTAATTCAGCAATCTGCTATTGCAGGTCCCAGCTTGGCTTTCTCTTGGGTGCCCTTTGCATGCAACGCACAGTCCCACTTCTGAAACCCAGTAGCATGGACTGATTGGGGCCAAGGAAGAAATGGGTTGCAAGACTACTGTTGACCCAGATGATAAGTAGTGAGCAAAGGAGAATGGTTGTGTTTTGGATATGCACTTTTGCAGTAACACCACCGCCAGCAGCAGCAGCAACAACAAAGTGGTCCATAACAAGATGTGGAATAAGAGGGCTTGCAGTGTCTCCAAAAGCTCACACCACAGAGAAGGGAAATAAGTTCTAACAATTTTTATGATATTTGGGGTAAATTTGTGGAATTTGTGTTAGTGAAAGGAAGGGGGAAAGCCTCTAAAGAATACTCAATACAATTTTGGAGAGGTAATCTGTAATAAAATATTATTAAATAGAGTCCCATGGGTATGGGGCACACGTTAGAATTTCATTTATAATAAGCACTATTATTTGTATTTTTTTTCTGTTTTTTTGTTGTTATGTATGTTTTTCTGGTGTTTTTTTTTTGTATTATAAAAAAAAAAATTAATTATTAAAAAAAAACTGAAAACTGAAGGGGCCAAAAGTCTCTTCATTAATTTTCTTGCAATGAAGACTAGCACAGCTGTTGTCCTTCTGGAAGCGCATACAATTGACCACTGTTTTAAGGAATGTCAATAACCGCACATCTTGAAAGAAAGAGGAGGAAGAGAGGTGGAAAAGTCCTTGGTGGTCGGAAGAAGGATCCCACAAAGTGGGTGGGAATTTTCATCCCTCTTGGTTTGACCTCCCAGGGCAGGGACTGAGTTTTCCTGGCTCCTTTTAAGGAGAAAGGCAGGAGAATTATGCTAAATAAATATATTTTTTTGGTGGGGGGCAAAGCAAAACGGAAGAGTGTTTGACAAATTTGACTCTTCTCACTTAGAGAGCCACTGGATCTGTAGCAGGGTAGACCTGCAGAGTTAGCATGCTATAGAGGCATTAGGACAACGGATTGGTTCCAAATTGGGAAAGGAGTATGTGAAGGCTGTATATTGTCTCCCTGCTTATTTAACTTATATGCAGAATACATTATGCGAAAGGCTGGACTGGAGGAATCCCAAACCGGCATTAAGATTGCCGGAAGAAATATCAACAACCTCCAATATGCAGATGATACCACTCTGATGGCAGAAAGTGAGGAGGAATTAAAGAACCTTGTAATGGGGGTGAAAGAGGAGAGCGCCAAAAATGGTCTGAAGTTCAACATCAAAAAAACAAAGATCATGGCCACTGGTCCCATCACTTCCTGGCAAATAGAAGGGGAAGATATGGAGGCAGTGACAGATTTTACTTTCTTGAGCTCCATGATCACTGCAGATGGAGACAGCAGCCACGAAATTAAAAGACGCCTGCTTCTTGGGAGGAAAGCGATGACAAACCTTGACAGCATCTTAAAAAGCAGAGACATCACCTTGCCAACAAAAGTCCGAATAGTCAAAGCTATGGTTTTTCCTGTCGTGATGTATGGAAGTGAGAGCTGGACCATAAGGAAGGCTGACCGCCAAAGAATTGATGCTTTTGTATTGTGGTGCTGGAGGAGGCTCTTGAGAATCCCCTGGACTGCAAGGAGAACAAACTTATCCATTCAGAAGGAAATCAAGCCTGAGTGCTCACTGGAAGGACAGATCCTGAAGCTGAGGCTCCAAGCCTTTGGCCACCTCATGAGAAGAGAAGACTCCCTGGAAAAGCCCCTGATGTTGGGAAAGTCTGAAGGCAAGAGGAGAAGGGGACGAAGGAGGACGGGATGGTTGGACAGTGTCATCGAAGTGACCAACATGAATTTGACACAACTCCGGGAGGCAGTGGAAGACAGGAGGGCCTGGCGTGCTCTGGTCCGTGGGGTCACGAAGAATCCAACATTACTTAACGACTAAACAAGAGGCGTTAGAGGGAGATCACGGTTCCAGTTCCCACCGAGCCATGAAACTCACCAGGTGGCCTTGGGCAACTCATTTTCTCTCAACTTTGCAGGGTTGTTGTGGTGATGAAATAGGAAAGGGAAGAGCCATTTAGGTTGCCTCAGCCTCATGGTAGGAAGGCAGAATATAAATTTAACGAATAAATAAGTAAAGGAACCTATAATGCATTCAGGAATATTTGCTATCCGGTTGTTGAACTCGGAAGAGATGGAAAAGATGCCGCAGTTCACTAACCTTCAGGCTCCACATGTGCACATTAAAAGCAGGCTGGGAATTGAGAGGAA